CTGCGGTGCTGCCGCTGCCCAAAGGGGCCTCGCACGGAGCGGCCCGGGCCGGGTCCCCATTCCCGTTCCCATTCCCGTTCCCGGGCGCCGGTCGCCCTCCAGCGGCCCCGCTGCGCCGCGCACCGGGCACGGGTCGAGGGCTGCAATGGGCATCCCTGCCCTGTCCTGGGCTCCCCCGCCCTGTCCTGAGGATCCCTGCCCTGTCCTGAGCATCCCTGCCCTGTCCTGAGCATCCCTGCCCGCTCCTGGGCTCCCCTGCCCGCTCCTGGGCTCCCCTGCCCGCTCCTGGGCTCCCCGTCCTTCTCCCGGGCTGCCCGGAGCTGCCCTGCCCGGCCCGGGAGCGCTGGAGGCAGGGGAGGCACCGGGGGTGGCTGGGGACGCTTCCAGCCACAGCCCCACACCCGGCAGCGCCCGCAGCCCATGTGCAGAGGGTGGCAAAGCCCCAGGCCCCCTGTGTTCCCTGGGCTCCCTCCTTGCCCTGCGGAGACCTGGGACCCCTCTCTGTGCCCCCCAAACCCCGGGTCCCCTCCTCGCCCCGCACACGGGCAGCCGGACCGGCACGGATGCCTTTTAGGGCTGCGGGAATGCCTGGTGTCCCAGGAGCCGGCTGCGAGCGGGCAGCAGCAGCAGCAGGAGGAGGAGGATCGGGACGGGTACCGGGCCGGGAACAGCCGTGCCCGGCTCTCAGCGCGGTGGGGCACGGGGAGCCGGCTCGGAGGGGCGCGCCCAGGGTTTGCCAGCATTCCCCGCCTGGCAAGGACCCAATGCTGTAAAAGCCATCGGGGCGGAGGCTGAGCTCCCGTTCCTGCCCGGGCAGGGCTCCGCAGCCCCGGCTGTCCCGCATGGGGAGCAGCACCAGTTTGGTGGCTTTGGGCTGGTGCCGGCCCTGGCCCGAGCTCGGGATGTTATCCAGCCTGCAGAGGAACCAGGAGCTCCTTCCCAGCTGCTGCCAAACCTGTTCCACTGAGCAGGCAATCAGGCAAAGATAAGGAAACCAGGGCACCGTGGAGGCACATGAGGGCAGCTCGGGAGCTGCGGCTGTGCCCTGCACAAGGGCAGGGAGGCACCCGCAGCAGCCCCGGGGCGCAGGGGTGAGGGCTCTGTGCCTGCCCCTGCTGCATCCCAGGCACAGCAGCTTTTCCTGCAGCCAGGCTCTGCTCCCAGCTCTGTCCTGCGACACACCTGAGCCGCTCCTCGGCTGCAGAGGGAGTTTCCATGAGATGCGTCCTGTCTGAACACCAGCAGGGACTGGGGCGTCTCCTTGCCCAACCCCAGAGGGTTCATTAATACGAACTCCATCCATTCAGAGTCCTGACACTGTGGCAAACAGGTACTCCAGGAAAACTGCTTTTACTGACAAGTACTAAAAGCCAGAGCAGTCTGGGGCTTGCAGAGTGTGCTGTGCCACCTGAAGCTGCCCCAGGGCACCTCCCAGCCTCCAGCACCCAGGTTGTGGAGATGGACGAGCAATGTGCTCTGGCTGCAGCAGCCAAGACTGCTCAGGACCCACTGTGCTCACAAGAAATTCTCTTTCTTCTGACATTTCAGAGCTTCCATTACAGCTCCAGGTTCCAGGTGGGCACAGATGCCCAGTCACCATCAGCAGGAGTGTTTCCTGCTGGGCAGCCCCAACTGCAAACATTTCCTTAAGCAATTTGCACATCTTAAAAATAAAATCCTTTATTGATAATATGAATGTTTAACATGTTTAATGCCATCAGCTATAAAAATGATTAAAGACTTCAGCTTGGTACATTTGGCTTTACAAATTTACAAGTGTTAATGAATTAATACTAGTGTTATATGTTTTGCACTTCATTATACTCCATTAGCCAGTGACAAACTCTGCAACAATGTCTGCTTAGGACACATGTGAGTTAGAGAAGAAATATTTAGTTGCTTTCACACAGAATCTACATCAACAGTTAAATACTAACTCTAAATGTCTTACTGAATTAGTTGGATCCATTTTAATCCCTTGTGCTTAGTTTCTTTCAGAAGTTAGTCTACTAGCAAAAATACATTCTTTTGCATACCCCTTCCCATATTATATTTTAAAAGAAACAGTACTCAGTGCATTTCCTATTAGACTTCATCATAGCATCTCTCTCTCTAGAGCTATCAATAAAGAAGGGGGATAATACCAGTCAGATTAATGTAAAAGTAAAGAAACTCATTAAAGCAGTGTATACAAAAGCCTCACTTTTCAGTCAGAAGGGATACATGGGCCAAAATCCATCTGCCCATCCATTTTTACTTTTACTCTCAGCAAGAGCTAAAAAATCTGCTGTGGACACTTAGTTAATAAAGTAATAAATGTGCTTCCAAAAGAGCCACTGCCCATTCAGCCCTGGCTGCCTCTGTGTCCCTGCTGTTAATGCACAGACCGTTCCACTGGATTAGGAACAACAGCCCATAATACCACTGCCTAAAAGGCTACCAAAAGGCCTGTGCAAGCCTCTAAACCCCTGCCCTGGCTGCGTGGGGTCAGGGCAACAGCAGCCACCCGAGCAGCACTGAGCTGCCCTGTCCTGCAGAGCGAGCTCAGAGCCCAGGGAACCCTCAGCATGGGAACCCCTCTGCATGGGAACCCCTCTGCACGGGGACCCCTCAGCATGGGGACCCCTCAGCATGGGAACCCCTCTGCATGGGAACCCCTCAGCATGGGAACCCCCTCAGCATGGGAACCCCTCAGCATGGGGACCCCTCAGCATGGGAACCCCTCAGCATGGGGACCCCTCAGCATGGGGACCCCTCAGCATGGGGACCCCTCAGCATGGGAACCCCTCAGCATGGGGACCCCTCAGCATGGGGACCCCTCAGCATGGGGACCCCTCAGCATGGGAACCCCTCTGCATGGGAACCCCTCTGCATGGGAACCCCTCAGCATGGGGACCCCTCTGCATGGGAACCCCTCAGCATGGGAACCCCTCAGCATGGGGACCCCCTCAGCATGGGAACCCTCAGCATGGGAACCCCTCTGCATGGGGACCCCTCTGCATGGGGACCCCCTCAGCATGGGAACCCCTCAGCATGGGGACCCCTCTGCACGGGGACTCCTCTGCACGGGGACCCCCTCAGCCTGGGAACCTCTCAGCATGGGGACCCCTCAGCGTGGGAACCCCTCTGCATGGGGACCCCTCAGCATGGGGACCCCTCTGCATGGGGACCCCTCACAGCATGGGGACCCCTCTGCATGGGAACCCCTCTGCATGGGGACCCCTCAGCATGGGGACCCCTCTGCATGGGAACCCCTCTGCATGGGGACCCCTCTGCATGGGAACCCCTCTGCATGGGGACCCCTCTGCACGGGGACCCCTCACAGCATGGGGACCCCTCAGCATGGGGACCCCTCAGCATGGGGACCCCTCAGCATGGGGACCCCTCTGCATGGGAACCCCTCTGCATGGGGACCCCTCAGCATGGGGACCCCTCAGCATGGGGACCCCCCAGCACGGCAGCGCTGCCCCTCCATGGCACAGGGATCCTCCCCAGCACAGAGGATCCTAAGGGATCCTAATGGATCCTAATGAACAGGAAAGCTGAGCGAGGATAACGCGTCTCTGGCACCGGCAGCTGTGCTAACACCACTCTGCGCCGAGGGAAGTGCTCCATGCTGGATGACACCGAGCAGCACGGCCACTTTCTAAATTTAGGATCAGCTCACATCCAACACCCAAGATCATTAACTCGGGGTTGTGCTCTCAGCCTGTGCCACTGCTCTGTGCTGTCTGTCCTGTATTTCTCAGCACAATGACTCAGAAAACCACTGTGCTGGGCCTATCGGTTTTCTCAAACGTTTCTGCACAGGAACCAGCTGCTTCTCCTGGGTCCAAATACTTCTCCTCACACATGATCTGCCTCAAACTTAGGCAATTCCTCACTGAGGAACTTTTTAAAATCTCAGTGAATTGCCATGTTTTCCTCATATGAGGCAGAAGATCAAGAAGAGATAAATAGTTCCCCAATACACTGTGTGTTTAGCATGTATGTGTGTGACATACTTACACATATCCACGTATTTAACTCCACAGCAGCAATGATTTGGTTCCATATTTGCAGCCAAGGAAAACTAGCCACAGCTAGTGGGTAAAATCCAGGTCAGTCAGACTTAACTGACACAGATGGGGAACAAAATTATTGCTTTTGTTTAAAGTTGAAGATCCCATTTACAGGTGTTGCAAAAAACCTGTACTGGATGGATGAGTTACTTTTTCAAGTAATAGTGAGATCTTTGCCAAGTAACAGAAAGATCCTTTTCTCAGAAGTTCTACACACAACAGTAGAATGCTTGAAGAGCTTGAAAATTCCAGGTGATTCACCAGAAACCAGAGCTGAGCCATGTAAAGCACACAGGCGTCTTGGCAGGAAAGCAGAAAGAACTATATGGACAAGGAATACTGACAGAGAAGTAATCTGGATGACATCACAACTAAATTTTATCCCAAGAAACTCCTGTGTGCTTCCTCAAGTAGCTGGAGCTGTGTCCTGAAGGACATAGCCTGGCTGGCTGCACCAGTCTGGTGGTCACCTGGCAGAATCTGTAGCACATTTGCTAACTTACCTTAGCAAATGGAAAGAATTAAAAGGAAAACCAGTGTTGGTTTCAACATTCAGGACTCAGAAGAATTTGTTTCTGCAGCTAGATGTTCCCCTCCTCACCTTTTTCCGAGAATCACATTCATATTGCAGGCTTAGTTCAGGCACTTTTATAAAATGTTCATCTGGAATAAAAAGTCTGCAAAAATTATTTCTGCATAATTTAAAAGTAGCATTTCAGTCCCATTAGAGGTTGATAGGTCCCACCACATGATCATGGTTGTTATCTCTAATGATTTGACTGCTGCCATGAGACATTTGGAGGCTACTGTATAGCTGTAGTTAAGGTTTCTTCATAAACAAAAATATTTTCCTACCTATTAAAAAGGAAAAAAAAAATACTAAATGCTTTATACAGACAGAATCTGCTACTATGGAAATAAATAACATGGAGTGGAAAAACAGTGTCTTAGCTGCAGGGTAAGCTAAGCTGTGGAATGTCACATTCCCATTTTCTGGAGACTAGCTGCTGCTTGGCAGGAGGATCTCCAGGTCCTTGCCATTTGACACGACGGTGCTGCTGGAGCAGCTACTGGCCACGTCCATGGGGGCACCCAGGGAGGAGGCCTGGGAGGCTTTGCTGAGAGGAGCAGGAGCAGCAGGCGACTGAGCCAGGCCGGGTTTCTTCGGAGGGATGGGCGGAGGGTTCCCTCTTTCTGCCCTCGGAATGGTCGGTGACTTGACTCCGGGAGACAAGGGGCTGAGCGGGCTGGAAACCTTGGCAGGGCTTGGGCAGTGGCCAGCCTCGGCTCTGGGGCTGCCAGCACCGGCCAGGCTGCGGTAGTCCGTGCCGAAAGGGGAGCTGTTGGGGGACACAGGCTTGATGGGGCCCTGCTGGCTGGTGAACCTGGACAGCACCTGGGTGACCGTGTTGCGGGCCAGCTGCTTGGCAGCAGAGTTGTCGGCCAGGGTGGGGGACAGGTCCCGGGACGGGGGGCTCTGCAGGCCCCCCGGCTGCTGCTCCTGCTCTGCCTGGGACTGGAACTTGTGCCTGGCCGCGTGGAAACGCTGGTTGATGCCCACCTGGTAGGAGGACTGGTAGCCAGGGCTGCTGGCAGAGGCTCCCACCAAGCGTTTGGCCAGCACTGGTGAGGAGCAGGGAGAAGGGGTGAGGGAGGAGGCAGCTGTGCTGCTGGGAGACAGGGACGCCCCGGCAGAGGGGAGCTGGTGCACCGGTGACTCTGTTCTTACAGGGGAGCTTCCGTTCTCCGCTGCACTCTCCGGGGCTGCAGCAGCTTTCTCCCTGGGAGCTTGGCTCTCTGCAGCACCCGTCTCCCCCTCTGTGTCACAGTGCCCGTTGGATTTTGCATAGGAATGAGCAGGTGCAGGGGGGCTGGCAAACACGGCGTGAACAGCTCTGCTGCTGCTGGCAGGGGCTGCTCGCTCTGCCTGCAGGCCCTCGGTCTGGCAGGACACAGACTTCACTGGGGCACTGTCAGTTGTGACCCCCCTGGATGTCACCGAGGGGCCGGCATGCACGGGCTTGGAGGGACTGTGCTCCTGGCAAGAAGCCTCCAGCTCTTTCAGGGCGTTCTTCAGACATTCCACCTCTTCTTTGAGTGCTTTTGTACGGTTTTCTTCTCTGTTCAGCTTAGCTTTCAGCTGCTCTCTTTCAATGTCAAACTCTGAGAGCTGCTTTTCTACTTGTGCTTCCATCTGCAGGCCCCGCTTCCTCTTGGCTGCGAGCTCCTCTTCCAGTTTACTCACCTTACTCTTCTCCTTTTCCAATTTCAAGCTCAGTTCTGCTGTCTTCTGGCCCTCTTCAGCTGCTTTGGCAGTGGCTTTCTTGCACTCCACAACAAGCATGGAGGACACTTGCTTGTGGCGTGCCCTTTCCTCCTCCAACTGGCTCGACAGCTTCTTCAGCTCTTTCTCGAACTTTTTCCCTTGGGACTTTTCAAACTCCACCTGGAAATTAAGAACAAAAGAGATTTTTAGGGTACCATAAAACCTCCTGAAAGCAAATGAAGGGCAGCACCCCAAAAGGGAACAGGTTTACTGTGTATCTTGGAGAAATTACAAGGTAAAAAATGACAATAACTAAGAAAGAGGTTATTGCACCAGAAATCAGCAAAATAGTCTGGGACAATTCAGCTTGCACACAGTAACAATTATTACTTCCTAGTAGTTTTATCCTGTGTGAAATTCGACTGGCCTTTAGTGAGACACACACCCAGTCTGCCATGCACTGACAGAACAAGCAAAGCTTCCTTCCACCTCATTTACCACTTTGTCAGTTTGCCTTTTAAAGGCATTTAGGCTTTAAAATGCTGATGTGTTATGTATGCTTAACAAAGGCTACAGGCTTGGGTAACAGAAAACAGTGGCTTAAATATTTATTAGCATCTCTGAACAACACCCCCAGGAGATCTTCCATGACTTACTCTGAATTTTGAGTACTGCAGTGAGCTATCAAGTGTAAATGCAATCCTGTCCTTCCCAACCCCTCGGATTTCAGGCTGAAGTAAGATTTCAAAGCATTTGATCGCCCATTAATACCTTTCAGCACTGCTCAGCTACCAAAACACGCCGAGCAATTGAGCAGGGCTGTTTTCCATATTGGGATGATAAAAGCTAGGAGTGCCTTGCAGAGGGAGGGAGTTCCTGCTGCTCTCCCTGCCCTGCCCTGCCCTGTGGCTGGTACCTGCTGGGTGAGCCGCTCCCGCTCCTTCTCCAGCATGTAGGTGACATCGTCCCCCTCGGCCGTGTCCTGGGCGTGCCGCTGCCTCTCCTCCTCCAGGTCCAGGATCACCTGCCCAAACACAGCAGCCATCAGGGCCCGGCCTCCAGGCCGCCAGGCAGGGAGCAGAGCCTGTGCACAGCTCCACAGGGACACGGGACAGACACCAGGGCAGCCCTGGAGTGGCACAGGAGCTCCACAGGGACACGGGAGAGACACCAGGGCAGCTCCACAGTGACACAGGAGCTCCACAGTGACACAGGAGCTCCACAGGGACACAGGAGCTCCACAGGGACACGGGACAGACACCAGGGCAGCCCTGGAGTGGCACAGGAGCTCCACAGGGACACAGGAGCTCCAGAGAGACACGGGAGAGACACCAGGGCAGCCCTGGAGTGGCACAGGAGCTCCACAGGGACACGGGACAGACACCAGGGCAGCTCCAGAGGGACACAGGAGCTCCAGAGGGACACGGGACAGACCCCAGGGCAGCTCCAGAGGGACACAGGAGCTCCAGAGTGACACAGGACAGACACCAGGACAGCTCTGGAGTGACACAGGAGCTCCAGAGGGAAACAGGAGAGACACCAGGGACACGGGACAGACACCAGGGCAGCCCTGGAGTGACACAGGAGCTCCACAGTGACACAGGAGCTCCAGAGGGACAGGGGAGAGACACCAGGACAGCTCCAGTGGGACAGAGCAGCTCCAGAGTGACACAGGAGCTCCAGTGACACGGGAGAGCCACCACAGCAGCTCCATGGGACAGTCACCACAGCAGCTCCAGACACCCGAGCTCAACTTGAGTCACAGAAAAGCAGCTTTTGGACAAGTCCAATGCATGTTATTTATTATCTGGTCAAACTGAGTCAATTTGTGAAAGATGTAAGGAAATCTCACACTGGATCTATTTTACTATTAAATATCTGAACTGCACGCTTTCCCCCCAGACTGTGCAATATCCTTGGGAGGCCCAGGTTATGGATGGTGCCCTCGTTCCAGAAGGGCTGGGGCTGGAGGGGATCTCTGGAGATCACCCAGTGCACCCCTTGCCCTGGAGAGGGCTGCACACTGGCAGGGAAGGAGAACCCACAGCCCCTCCACAGCCTGTTCCAGGGCTCTGTCACCCTCAAGATAAGTCAGTTTTTCCTCCCATTCAGCTGGAAATTCCTGCATTTCAGTTTGTGCCTCCTGTCCCTTGCAAGTCAGAGTTTCCTGGCAGGAGCACCACCCCAGGGCCCAGCAGGAGCAGAGGTGCTGCCTGAGGAGGCACAGGGCTCTAGCACAGGACAGTCCCCCCGTGGCCCCAGCAGCAATCCCCAACAGGCTGCTCCCACTGCCTTACGGGGATCTGAGCACTCCAGCCTGAAGTTTATTTTAAAGAACATTAATTTGTTCTTCCACTTAAGAACAAGATGAGCTCTTGAAGCGAAACTGCTTCCCATAAGGGCCCAGTGAAGGAGCTCCTTCAGCTTTAACACTGAATTACATGAATAATTGAAATGCTATTAACAAAAAAAGCCAGAATACAAACTTCCCAAGAGGCTCTGCTTATCTCATCACTAAAACAAAGCTCTCCCAACACATGCTCGCCATGAATTTAGCAGCTCCTCAGTCTTCCTGAAATTTAAGCTTCCATATAATGCTGAAATATTATCAAGCATACATCCTTGTATACTTGAAGCAGACAGGAAGAGGAAAAAGTGAAAAAATATCTGATTTTACTGTATGACTTAGTTGGATATTTGGCTGAAAAGTGAAACCCAGCCTTGCTCTTACTTCTAGTGACATCAATTTTTGTGGTAGTGTGGTCTGACACATGACCAAGCACTTTACTGGTGCCAATATACATTAAAGGTATGTCTGAAGAATAACAGGTGCTTCAATTAAGAGGCCAAATGGCAAGAAAAATACTCTTGGTCCCTCTGTATTTCCTTAGGGAAGCACAAGGAGGTGCCTTCCCCGGGCAGCAGCTCCTCAATACCCACAGAGAACAAGCCCCAGGCAGAACAGTGACAGGTCTGCTGAGAATTCCATCTTCCAGAAACCCTTCCTTGCATTTTGGGAAGCGTTACACCTGTAAGCTGCATCCTTTTTGGCGTGTCCTAACAAAAACATTTCAAATTCTAGAATTATAACTAATGAGCTGACCAGCTGCATCCTCTGGAGTGAGAAGTTTGAACAAAGGTGCAAAGTCCTTCCAGGTACCAAGCCCCAGGGAACTGAAGTGTTTTTTGCTGAAGTTAACTTGTTATTAAAATGCAACTGTAACCTCTGCACATCCTAATTGAGGCAACACCCACCTTTCTGTGTCTGCTTTCCGCAGCAGCCAGCTGGGATAACATTCTTTCCTGCATGTTCTTGCAGTGCTTCATCACCACCTTCAAAATAGATAAAGGATTGGAGCATACTGGCTGCTTTTCACCATGGTTCCCCTCCTTCAGTGTCTCAAAGTCTCTCTGCAGAGCCATCAGTGGATCACTGATGTTGTATTTCCCATAGCGCTCCTCAATGAATGTGTCCCTGTGCTGGGCCTGCAACACAAAAACAAATTTGCATTTTAATATACTCAAACTAGCTACAGAAACAGGGCTTTGTACTTAATATTCCTTTTCCCCAGTTTTCCATTTAAAGATAATTTAACACAGTCTGATTCATATCCTGTTATCTGCTGGAAATAAAGGCAATAAAGACAAATCTTGCTTAAAAAACACAGCATCTCCACAATATATCCAGTCTACAAACATCCTCATACCACAGCTACCTGCCAGGGCCGTGACTTACCTTCTTTCCTTTCACACAGCTGTGGAATGTAAGTACCAACTCTTGCTCAACAAAAGATTTAATCATTTATTGTCGCATCAGTGAAAGAAGCAGTTGTGTGCTTTCCTTGGCTGTGTCACCATCAAAGAATTTCATGTTGAGCAATTAAAGAGTTTCATTCTCGCAAGAGCCATCAATCTGTGAATTGTTAATAAAATCTTTAATGTTCTCATCCAGACTAAACAGAGTTTAGTTTCCCAAGATGGGAACGACGAGGTTTCCTTTGGTGCTTGTAGGAATTAAGACAACTCACACATCCCAGGCTCTGCCTTTACAGTGCTTAATGGCCGGACTCGATGAGCTCAGAGCTCCCTTCCAACCCCAACCATTCCATGAATCAGCCATTCCATCTGGAAATCTCTCTGTTAGGATACCCAGAGGCTTATCCTACTCAATGATGACTGTAAGGGTCTAAGAACAAAACAAAATCTCATAGACAGATATGAAAGCATTATCTGTCTCTTCACCACCATGATGAGAAACCAAATATTTATGCAACAAAAGAGACAGAAAACCAGACGTAGATTCAAAAGAGCCCCCAGAGGCATCCTGGCTCAAAGGAATGGAATCACTGATTTCCAGTGAAATGGTTCTGGGCTGAACCCTGAGCCTTTGTGAAAAGCTGTGGCAGTGCTCCATTCCCCTGCGTGTCCCTGACAGCAGAGCCGAGGCACCTGCCAAGAAGCAGCACCTGAGCATGGGACTGCAGCTGGGCTCTGTGACTCCTCTGTGAGGACTGGTGCCAGCACAGTTCAGCCCTTCTCTTGTCTGTAAATGTTCTTCTTTTCTTCTCTGTTCTGCACTGGAGTGTCCCCAGTGAGGCTGCAGAGGAAGATGGGCTTTTCCTCTGCACCACTGAAACGCAGGAGTGAGCGCCAGGACCTTCCTCAGAGTGTGTTCAATTTAGAACAGAGTTTAGCAGGAGTGACCTCCCCAAGGGCTCTGACCCTGAGTGCCCTTTCCCTGCCACAGCACACACGTTTTCCCTCGAGCACCTGCTCCAAACAAACGCTGTCTGCGCCTCCTGAGGCGCGCTCCACCCTCCTGCCCCAGCTGCAGAGCACAAGGAGCAGATCTCCCACTGCCAGCCAAGCTCTCTGGAGCTGGTGCAGGCCCTGAACCAACTCTCTGCTGCTGCTGGGAATGGCACCCAGCTGAACAGAGCTCAGCGTGCAGGGCCAGCCGTGCCAGCCTCGCTGGGCACTGCCCAGAAACCCTCACGAACAGCAATGCAGACACCAGCAATCACCCATTCCTGATGGCACGGCACAAGGACGGCATTTAGGCAGGAAAGATGGGCCTGACTCAAACGAAAAGACAGCTCAGAAGCCAGTGCCTCTTGGAATGGCTCTTTTGTCATGAGCCAGTATCAAAACCACAAATGCTTCCCTCGAGCAGGAGCCCCAGGACCGTGGAACATCCCCACACAGCAGCTGGGAGAGCTACACTGACACAGTGAGAGTTAAATAACAAAACTTGGCTTCACTCAAAGAGCTGGTGAGGTTTGCTGGTCCCACCTGCATTCTTAAATGCAGCCATGTGATTAACATGAAATAAACGAAAAAAAATTGATTTTTGCTCTTAAAAGGAAAAGTGTTTGCATTACCTTGACAAGAGGCATAAAAAAAACCCAACGCAAAATATCTTCTCCATGACCAAATCAGAGACATTCATCCTGTGAGTCCAGTTTGGAGCTGGATTTTAACCCTGCAGTAAACAAACACAGAGGAACAGCTCACACTCACACCCCTCCCTCTCTATCAGCAATATCCGTCAGGAACTGTGGGTACCTTTGACCAGAGCTTCAGATATTGTTCTAACTTTACACAATAATAAAAAGGAGAGGAAGGAAAAGAGCAGCCCTGGAAATGGGAGAGCAGCCCTGGATAATGGGGCAGTCCTGGTTTAATGAATCACAGGAAAAACTTCAGGTTTGGTGTTTTTTTTTAGGAACAGGGAATCTTCTGTTTTTCTGAAGTGTTTATAAAAATGACTCAGTGAAAGCTCCATATAAGTGTGGAGGCAATTTCTAAGTGACTCAGGCATTAATAAGTCTGTAAATACGAACTGGGATCTCCATCCAGCTGGCCTTAAGGCTTTGACAGATAAATTTAATCCCACCTCACCCCAGTGCTGCCACTCCACACAGAAACAGGGACCCTTCAGAGGGGCACCAGTGCTTCAGTGTGCACACAAACCCTGCCTTTGCAACTGCTACCAAATAAGAGCTCCAGAACCTGAGATTAAGGTGATTTTTGCAGCACTGAAGGTGTAACAAAAGCCACGTTTTCCTCTGCTCCTCTCAGCACCGGGCTCTGAAGCCTGAATAAACCACCCACTCTGAATTCAGCGAGGTGGTTTATTTCCTGTTTGGGAAAGAACGAGAAGTTCTTCCTTGCTACTTTGAGCAATTAAGTATTTTCCTGAACTAGCATGACAAACAAACGAGACTATCATAACATTAGGAGCTTTCTCAAGTCCAGCTATTCTTCTTCAGTAGCCAGCAGAGCATAAACATTTAATTAAAGTTGTCTAGACCGGAGAAAGTCTTAACCAGGTCATCCTCCAGCGAGCACACCACGTTTGCACAAACAAACCCAGTGCTTTGGCGCTGGGGCCGCTTGGAAATGCAAGCAGGGATTTTCCAGCCTGGGACACCTCTGTCCTGCAGAGCAGCCCCCTGAACCACTGAGGCAGCTCGTGGAAAATGCATTTACAGCGCCACAATCCCCAGAGTTCCCTTATACAGGTTGGAAATGGCACAGAGGAGTGTGCTCCTCCCCGAGACAGCTCTGCACCTCAGCTGCTGCCACTGGAGGCCACATCCAAATCTTCCACCCTTCTGATTGTGTCTGCCCTAAACGGCTGTTCAACTTTCACAACAGAAGGAACTTGATGGAGGAACACTCTATTAGTGAGCCCAAAGTGAACAGAATCAGCCTAGATCTCAGATCCCAGCACAGAAAACACAAATCCACAGAAAATCAAGGTTAAACGAAAAGGAAATGAGGTTACAAAGTGCAGTGTTAGCTAAAGAGTGGAAAATTTCATCTGAACATCAGAGATGACATGACATAAATACCTCCAACACCAGCAATGGTGCTTTGAAAGAAGATGCAATTCTGTGCAATTACATCTTCTGATTTAGTACCTCCACCTCCATCATCTCCAACATGCAGAACTGTGAATTTCCCAACAAAATACTCAAATTCCAGAAACAACTAAATGGATTATTCAGCAACTTTCAAGACCATTAAACTGACCTCTCCCAACAGGAAACAAAGATAACATATAAGCTTGGGGTGCTTTTAAAAAACAGAAGGAACTATACATGTGAACTACCTTTAAAAATAAACTTCCAGAAGACTGGAAAAATGAGCCATAAGCAGAGGGGGTTCCACGTGAAACTGGCAGGCTGTGAGCTCCAGTTTGGGCAATGGACCACGGCTAGTCTGTTTGGGAAGAGATAATTCTGATTTTATGGGGCAGAAGCAACATCTGACCCAGCTGAAAAGATGTTTCCTGTGCAGGCAGGCAACGCAAAGGCTTTGCTTTGTTAGGAAAAGGCTACTGTTTCCTCTTGGGGATTCTAGGCTGGTTTGGGATGTTTCCCATAACCCATTTCTGTGTCTTTTAAAAAATAAAATATTTCTTTCTACTGAAACCTTGTTTATGTGACAGAATATTCTCTCTCTGTTCAGTAATCTTTACAACTTGTTCTACTGGAACATCAAACAGGGAATTTCCAGGACCTGCTTAAAGTGTTTTTTTGGACATCAAGTAGAGCATTTCTCTTCCCTGTAATTTCAGAGTTCAGGTTTTAACCCTTGGTACACGACAAACACACTCTTAATTAACTCCAGCCACTGAGTTTGCAGTTCTCCAATGATAATTTGCACAGAAGTTCCTCCTTTGTGTAGCAGAGAGTGGAATAAGCTTTAAATAGCTCCTTGCTGCCTTGAACTTCCTTATTAGCTTCTCTCCCCAGAGACAGAAGTTGGGAATAAAGAGAGGCTGAGGTCACAGCAAGCACGGAGAGAGAAGGGAAATGGGGGTGGGGACCTCTTGCTTTGCCCAAAAATAAATGTCAAAATGCTGGAGTGGGACCTGCAGCGCTGCTCCAGCTCTGCAGCAGCGCCAGGCACAGAGCCACCGGTAAATTGTTCAAATGCAGCATCTGTCCCAACTGCCAGCATTACATCGAGCCAGCAGACCTGACAAACGAGAGCTGCCCGCATCTGCCCGAGTCAGACCTGGTATCTGTGGTGTTCTCAGCTCTGAAACACAGAATCGGCTTCCTCGGGAAGCGTCCGGCAGTGCGGGACCGCAGCCTCCTCTGCTGGGAGCTGCCGTGCCAGGCTGGCTGTGCCTGCCGTGCCAGGCTGGCTGGAGCTGCTGTGCCAGGCTGGCTGGAGCTGCCGTGCCAGGCTGGCTGGAGCTGCTGTGCCAGGCTGGCTGGAGCTGCTGTGCCAGGCTGGTTGGAGCCGCCGTGCCAGGCTGGCAGGAGCTGCTGTGCCAGGCTGGCTGGAGCTGCCGTGCCAGGCTGGCTGGAGCCGCTGTGCCAGGCTGGCTGGAGCCGCCGTGCCAGGCTGGCTGTGCCTGCCGTGCCAGGCTGGCTGGAGCTGCTGTGCCAGGCTGGCTGGAGCCGCCGTGCCAGGCTGGCTGGAGCTGCCGTGCCAGGCTGGTTGGAGCCGCTGTGCCAGGCTGGCTG